GTATGCAATATTCTATAAAAAAATTATATAAATATATTTAAACTCTAACTTTGGGGCTTTAGTTTATGGTAACACTTTCATTTCCTGAATATGAACTGTTAACAGTATAGTATTTCAGTAATAACTATAGAAAATTCTTTTGAACAAGTGCATACAAACATTTCTCTATATATATGGCATCCATTCAGGGAAGAAACCCAGTTCATCTCATTGTGCCCATAGCATTCTTTGAAGCATCTGTAAACAAGAGTGTTTAAACTTTCACTGCAGACATCAGAAAATGTGATGAGTATTGAATGAGTATGCATAGTAGTAGTGGTTTGAAGACATATCCTTTGAACTAGCATATGCCAGTACTTTAATATATAAACACCACTCACTGTAATAACACTGTGTACTACACAGTGTACACAGCATTCTACAAAACACATTTTAAGCAAGTGAATATAAAAAATTACTGCAAGCATCAGTGTGAGGCAAACACTACCATTCCCTGAATATATAATGTTAACAAACTATCATATCTGATCATTCTCATATATCTCCTTTGAATATGTATCTAAAAATATTTCACTAGTTATGACATCCAGTTGCTAAAATAAATTGTTAGCCACACTGTAGGTATAGCACTCTATGACATATGTCTAAGAAAAGTGCATTTAATCTCTCACATCAGGCTTCAGTGTAGCACACACTGCCATAAATGAATGTACATTGTTAAGACAGTATTTCAGTAAAAACGCTACAAACTCTTCTGAACACATGTATACCAATACTTCACTAGAAACATGACATCTATTCTCCAAAATAGTGTTTATCTCATAGTATATATAACATTCTAGTTAACATTTTTAAAATAAGTGAACTTAAAATAATATTACCTGCATCAGAGATTAATAAACACTGACAGTCACTGAATATACAGTGTTAACAACATAGTGTTTCTATGGAATTCTCACAAAGTTCTTCCCAATGTGTTTACATTAATACTTCATTACAAACATGACATCTGTTCACTGAAATAACACTCTTTCTTATAGTTTATAGAGCGTTCTGAAAGTGTCTTTAGAGAAAGTGTATTTAATTTAATTTTATATTATTTTAGTTTTGGGTACAAGTGAGGATTTACACATAAGTAAATTGCATGCAGGTGAAGTTTGGGCTTCTAGCTGGCTTTCTTTGCCCCTGATAATGGACCAGACACCCAATGTGTTACCACATGCCCTGTCCCCTCCCCTCCTTCCTCCTCTAACTGTGTGCAGCATCTTCCAATCTCTGCCTTGTACTCAACAGAGATCAAGACCCACTTACGAGTATTCAGTTTTTTGTTTCTGTGATAGTGCACTTAGATGGTCTCTAGCTGCATACACGTTGCTGCAAAGGCCATGATTTTGTTCTTCTTTATGGCTAGAGCAAGCGTGCTTAAACCACCAGTGCAGGCATCAGAATGTGGTAAGCAAGTAAATTCCCTGTTAGCAACATAGTGTTTTAATAATCACTGTTAAAACTCTTTCGAACATATGTCTCCAAATACTTTTATATATATATACATATATATATATATATATGTATAACATTGACCTACTAAAACAAAACTGCTTACCACATAGTCTATATACATTCTTTGAAACATCGTTGGACAATTATATTTAAATCCTTACATTAGGCATCAAAGTATAGTAAACACTTCCATTTACTAAATATAAACCATTAACAGATTTTCAGTTTTTCAGATTTGGGGTATTTTGGGATTTTTGAAATTTGCATATAAATAATAAAATATTCTGGGTATGGGACCTAAGTCTAAACATGAAGTTCATTTCTTTTTCTTTTCTTTTAATTTGAGTTGGAGTCTCACTCTGTCACCCAGACTGGAGTACAGTGGCTGTTCCTGGTCACCGCAGCTTCGACCTGCTGGGGCTCCGGCGATCCTTCCGCCTCAGACTTTCAAGTAGCTGGAATAACAGGCACGCGCCCATGCCCGGCTAATTTTTTGATTTATTGTAGAGATGAGGTCTCACCAAGTTGCCCAGGCGGGTCTTGAACCCGTGGGCTCAGGCAATCTACTCACCTCAGCCTCCCAAGGTGCGGGATTACAGGCTGAGCCACCAAGCCTGGCTGATTTTTTTTCTCAAATAACATAAATTTATTGTCTTTATAGTTCTGGAACCTAGAAGTACAAGATCAAAGTGTTGGGAGGTTTGGTTTCTTCTGAGGCCCTTCTCTGGCTTGCTGTTGGCTACCTTCCTGTTCTGTCCTCACGTGACCTTTCCTCTATAAGCATGCATCCTAGGTTTCTCCTTGAATGTTTTTTTTTTGAGTTGGAGTCTCACTCTGTCACCCAGACTGGAGTGCAGTGGCCACTCCCGGCCACCGCAGCCTCGACCTGCTGGACTCCAGCGATCCTTCCGCCTTAGCCTTCCAAGTAGCTGGAATTACAGGCATGTGCTACCACGCCCAGCTGATTTTTTTTGATTTATTGTAGAGATGAGGTCTCGCTGCTCAGGCGGGTCTCAAACCCGGGGGCACAGGCAATCCACTCACCTCAGCCTCCCAAAGGCATGGGATTACAGGCTGAGCCACTGAGCCTGGCTGAATTTTTTTTTTTAACCATGAGAAAAGATTACCTTTTCAATAAAAACTATGGTTAAAACATGGGTGACAGCTGAGTGCGATGGATCACACCTATAATCCCAGCACTTTGGGAAGCTGAGGTGAGAGGATTGCCAGAGCCCACAGGTTCAAGATCAGCCTGGGCAACTTAGAGAGATCTCATCTCTACAATAAATTAAAAGTTAGCCGGGCATGGTGGTGTGTGCCTGTAGCTCCAGTTACCTGCAAGGCTGAGGTGGAAGGATATCTGAGCCCAACAGGTTGAGGCTGTGGTGGACATGAGTGTGCCATTGCCCTCCAGCCTGGGCAACAGCGTGAGACTCCAACTAAAAAAAAACAAAAAAAAAACAAGATAAAAAAATGAGTGACATTATATCAGTGCTGTACTTCTTAAAGCAGCAGAATCACACGCTGGCTATTTGGGCAGGAGCATCCATTGAGGCCCTCTGGGATGGCTCCTTAACAGCTGAGTCAGCTTTTCTTGGCACTTGCCTTCCTCTTTTCCCTGCCAGGCCCTCAGCTCTCAGCTGTTTTCCATTCCTGTTTAAGTCTGCCACCATCTACTCCAACTGCCAAGCTTCCCCTGATAATCAAGATGGATCACAGGATAGGACACAATTGTTCATCTCCTTTCTTTCTATCTCTAGAGTAAACCCACCTGCCTCATCGACACTTGGCATTAAAGACAATACTGCTGGGCTTTATTTTTCCTGTTTTATAGAAGAAGGCCAACAAAGTTGAAAAACTTGTTCAAGCAACACAGTTAGTGAGAGGCAGCACCAAGATTTGAGCCCATGTTTGTCTTCTACCATGCCTAGTTACTTCTCAAAAGTCTCACTGCCAAAGGCTGAGGGGAAATAGGCAGTATTTATATAATATAATGCACATAGTGAAACATAGAAGGTTCAAGAAATCGACAATCCTCACTGAATGTGGCCCATATTCTATGACCCAACTACCTTGCTAGCCGGTATCTTGGGAAAGCTCCCAAACCCCTCACCCTGTTCAGGGTCCTTGAAGCCTCTTCCCACTACACAAGACTGATGATTCCATTGATATAAACTACCATCCTTTGAGGTTTGGAAGAACGAATTAGGAGAGGAGAGAACATTAGTCTAGTGCCATTACCTGCCCTGGGTGCTGTGCTGGAGGCAAAGCTCAGTGTCAGGCAGATCTGCACGCAAGCCTCAGTTTTATCAATTATTTGCTCTGTGCTCTTGGGCAAATTAGTTGCCTGCTTTCAGCATCATCTTCTTATTAATAAACCAGAAAAGAGGGCACACCTCATCAACAAAGGTACCTGAATAATGAACATTTGTATACCTATTCCCTGAATCGTACCCCACATGTTTAAAGTAAAAAATTTATATTAAAAAAATAAACTGAGCCAGGCTCGGTGGCTTAGTCTGTAATCCTGAGCTTTGGGAGGCTGAGGTGAGTGGATTGCCTGAGCCTGTGGGCACAGGCATGTGCCCACTTGGGCAACTTGGTGAGACCTCATCTCTACAATAAATCAAAAAATTAAGCCGGGCTCGGTGGCTCAGCCTGTAATCCCACGCCTTGGGAGGCTGAGGTGAGTGGATTGCTTGAGCCCGCGGGTTTTGAGAC